CACATGTTTGTAGGGAGAATTATCAATTTGGTCCTTCACATTTTCAAGAAAAACTTGTTTAGTTCTTCACATTTAAAATCAACTAAAATAGTCCCTCAAATATAAAAAAATTTGCCCGTTTGGTCCTAGAGCTCATTTTTGTTCAATTTTTCAGTCAAAAATGCATGCCTACCTTATGTTCACATAATTTTCAAGGCAAAATGGAAATCAAATTCATTTCCCTTCACACAAAAAAAAAAAAAAACCTCTTCTCCCCATTTTTAGACAGACACTAAAAGTTTATTTTTGATGTTAAGTAACCAAACCCCAATTCCTAATAGCAAAACTTGAACAAATACACCCTCATAAAAAGGCGATGAAGAAAAAAGCTAGGGCTCAGATTGGAAAAAGGTAAAAACGATCGAGAAGCACTAGTGAATCAGCACACATAATAAAATTTTGTCTAAATAGCGCAATATCGTGATTTGTTGCATATATTATGTAATATTATAAGAGTAAATCTTACATGTACTAACAGTGTATATACTATTACCGTTGGATCCATGATACATATGCAAAAGTTGGAGTTCAAATTCAAATATTGCATAGTTGTCATTCATCCAATGTTAGTGTCTAAATTTGTTTGGATAGTGTATTATTTGAAATATTATTTGGAATAATTACTGTAGCACTTTTTGTGATGTGATGTATGTGAGATAAAAAGGTGGTTGGAAATACAAAAAGGTGAGTTGGGAAATGTGTCTATGATGCAAGCGAAATATTATTTGAGATAATATCACTATCCAAACAAACCAATTTATAAAACTACTAGGAGGTTATTGGCTGTGCTAAGCACAGCCTAGGCCCCTATAATCTGTTGTCATATCCAAACTTTTTGCATGTTTGAAGAGGGTTGTTGACCTGCTGGGTTTGGTAGCATAGGCGGCTGGAATTGGACTTGCTGAGGATAAATGTGCCGAATTTGTGCTCAGAAGAGCCGTGTGGTAGAGAGAAAGGAGGAAAAGGGTTCAACGGCAATTTGGGAAAGAAACAGTGCAATGGCAAAAGAAGGAAAAGAAATAGAAGGCTTGAAGAGGGGTGTTGACCTGCTGGGTTTGGTAGCAAAATCTCCTCTTCTCCGTTTCTTCCACTCAGATAGCCGAATATGAACCTGCAAAAGATGCTACTGTTCTACCAATTTTCTGAACAAAGCATTGTACTTTCTCTCGGTTAGAACCACAAAAACCCTCCACATGCACGTGATTGCACTTGCCCCAAGAATCAACTTCTTTTAGGGATTGTATTTGGTTTGAATTTACCAGTGAATTCGTCCTTTTTTCTGCTGCTACGAAGTGATTCAACGGCAATTTGAGAAAAAAAGCATTGCAATGGCAAAAGAAAGAAGAGAAATAGAAGGCTTCGGACAAGAGAAGCTTTAGATTCAGACAATTTGCAAGAAACATTTTACCCTGCCATTCCTTAAAAAAACAAAAGCATATATTTTTTGTCATTCAGAAATTATTGCAATCATTTGCTCAACAAAAATTTTTTTTGTCAAAATAAAAGACAGATGTTCACATATCAATAAATTAAAATAAAATTGATTCGAAAGTGTGTATTCTATTAGTTGGCTATTTCATTTTTGCATTTATAACAAATTGGAACCAATTTCTTTTCTTTTTTTTTTTTTTATCATTTTCCCACTTTGAAGATATCTTTTTCTTTTCCTCCGAGTTCAAAAATAGCCAAGGTTTGATTAAGAAAGTTTAAATATTTTTTTAGCATGAAGATTAAAATAATAAAATTCTTGCTATCAAATTTGGATATTTCTTTTAATTTTTGAAAATGTGACAATTTTTCTATCATTTTTTGACGGCTTCTAAAATAGCAAAAGTTATATTAACAACGTAGCAAAAAATAAAAAAATATAAACTTTCAAAAAGACGAATAGAATTCTATGATTTTTAATAAAGTCAAGTTAATCTGTGAAATATAAGTTTAAATGATATTTCAAATCGTAATAAATATAAATTCAAATAATGATGATGATAATAATATTATAATTGGATTACATCTGTCCAAGACCTAGAGCTTGAAATCAATTTTAAACATTTCTTTTTGTTTTTGAAAATACGATGATCTGAAAAATACTCTCTCAAATTGACATCATAATAAATATAAATTGAAATAATGATAATAATAATAATAATAATTTGTAATTGAATTACATCTATCAAAAGCTTACAAATTGAAAAATTCAATAAAAATAATTGGACCTCATACTTGAATGCCAAGGCCAGACCAAATTTGGTCATTGTGCAATGCAGTCCAATCTATCTATCTACCGTTGCCTATAAAAAGAAAAGGAAAGAATGAAAGCTCAAAAATTCACCAAGAATGCCATGTGTCAATGAGACAGCATGCTACAGTAACAGTGCAATGGCAAAAGAAGGCAAAGAAATAGAAGGCTTCGGACAAGAGAAGCTTTAGATTTAGACAATTTGCAAGAAACATTTTACCTTGCCACTTGTCAGATAATTAAGAAGCCATGTGGCAAGAGGAAAGGAAAACAGTAAACCTTGCTCTTTTCTTATATACAAGGTAGATATGTGTTATCTGTTGTTGGGAATTGGGGTTTGGTGGTTGAAAATTAGAAATAGGGTTTGGTGGATGAAAATTGAGGGAAATGGGAGGTGATGTGCTTTTTTTTTTTTTTTTTTTTTGGTGTGAAGGGAAGCACATTTTGTTTCCATTTTGCCCTTGAAATTATACTATACAAATGTGAATTCACGATTAAAATATGTTAATTCTCCAAAAACAACAATATGATTCAAACACTTCAAGAAGCAAATTCTAAATTATCACCATTTCAATGTCTAAAAGTGGCAATTTACATCAAAATAATATGAAATATGGCGCATTTAGATATAAGAGTCACTTAGCTTGAAGAAACAAAAGACATCAGAAAGGACATTTTATTCATAAAAACGTGTTTGCATGTGAAATCAGCAACCAAATGCAATTCATACAAATAGCCAGTAAAATCTGGTTTAATTTGGTTTAATTCATCGTCATCAACATCATCATTATTATTTGGTTTAATTTGCAGGTAGACCAATTATTTCTCTTTTACCATTTGCACGGTCTCTTCCAATGGCCCTTTTAATAAGAAACGAACATCAGGTGATGCTTTTTTGCATGAACTAACATTACCTTTTAATCCAACAAGATGTTGCTTCATTCCATTAATACCACAAGCAACCAAAGAGATGCTGCAAAACCCGCATATTAGAACCTTTTTGCCTTCAAGATTTTGACCCTCTATTACATGTTTCCATGCACGATCATTTTTTTCGTCGAGGATTTTGTACAGTAGTAGACCCTTGTACCATTGACTGTGAATTCAAAGGTAAAGAGGGTGAAGTTGCACCTTCCATACCTAAAAAAAAAAAAAAAAAAAAAAATTGGACTCCACTGGATGAACAAGATACAAGCATGGTTCAAAGTCGTGGTTGCGGTCACGGTCGCGGTCCGGAACGTTCCACATCGGTTTCGACATATCGGTCGCGATCTCGGTGAGACGCAAATTTTAAAGTATTTAATATTCTAAAAATTATTAATAATATAAAAAAAGTATGCTAAACAAAAATAATAAAAAATAGCAAAAGAAATGGCCAAGTCAATCCGTCACGGTGTAACTCGGCCGATTTCTCGTCTTGACTCGGGATAACTCGGAGTGACTCGGTGTGACTCGGCCGAGTCAATCCGTCGCGGTGACGTCTCGGCCGGTTTCTCGGCGAGTCAAGTATCTCGGTATCATTTCGTCACGGTATCGTATCGGTAGGGGCCGAGACGGTGACGACTCGGTCGAGTCGTCTCGGTCTCGACCGAGACTTCGAACCATGGATACAAGTCAACTTTTCCCATGCGTCTGGAAGCGTTCTTATGGTGAAATTGCAGATACTTAGATGAACACATATACTGCTTAAAATTAGAACAATTTCTGCCCCATTAAGTGTATGATTCCATCATGTGTTTCTTGGATTTCAGTCCTGAAATCAAGAAGTTTGATAAAGAAAAAATAATCATCCTTATGCAAAGATAGAAACTAAGAGAAGATCTGGGAATGAGCAGCTCGTACTGGTACATGATTCGTTGTACTTTGGACTTTTAGTTACTATATGTCAAGAAATATAACCTTATGAGGCAGGTCCTAGATGTTGGTAGTCTTATCATATATATATCCTCAAGTTTCATATAACAAATGAAAAACCAATCTGTAGCAAAACAATCAAGTAAATTGAATATGAAACCTAAATGTTATACTTGAAAGCCTGAATCGTAACAAACGACAAAGGATGCATAAATCAACCTGTCAGCACAATCGATCTTATTACATGATTACTACTGTCTGTATGCAAGGTAATTGAATACTACTTCAAGTCAATTTGAGGGCCCATTTTAAGGAAACAAACAACAAAAAGAAAACAACAAAAACGAATAATAGATACTTTGGCAGAGACAATTAGTTATTAAACTAATTGTAAAACTAAATTAAACCAAAATATACCCAATTTGAGAGCTTTCTGTGGGGAATATGGCTTTCTAATGCAAGTTGGAATCCTCCATGTTAAATTGATAAGATGATAGGGATTAAAAGCCTACATGGCTCTCTAATGCAAGTTGGAATTAAAAGCCCCTTGATTTATAGATTGTTTAAGGATGTGAGTGATTTAACGGTATTTTTTTATTCCTGATAATAAATGCAAGATTTACAAGTTAGGTCACTTGTATGATGTTTGAGAAAAACAAGAAAGAAAAGTTTGGAAACCGAGGTCAAATGATCCAACCAGTTCATACGTTTGGTCGATTTTTTTACGGTTTCAACTGATTTTTTTTTTTTTTTTTGAAAAAAGAGGTACAATGCTATTAATCAGCCTGCAGAGAAGGCCGCCGATTCACATTTGGATTTTACACATTTTGTGTACTTCAAAAGGGAATGGGTAAAGCTTATCACGAAATCACAAATATTGATATCTCAACTTAAACGCTTGATACAACATCAAGTCTTAAGGTGAATGGGACAAAATACATAAATGTGATTGTAAGTCCTACAAACTCTAGAAACTTTTTTTTTTTTTTTATCTCGATCTATAAGGGATAATTAGTGAACCACCGGTCAATCATGGCAAAACATTCTTTTGGTTTGTATTCTGGAGCAGTGTGACCTGCACCCTGAGAAAACAAGAAAGGGGAGTATTACTTAGTCCATGCTTTCGTGCGTTATCGGAAGAAAGAATTAGGTTAACATTTTCTCACCTTTACTGTTGCAAATGTGAAACAGCATACATCTTCTTTGAATTGGTAATTCAGTGTGTAGCTGTAGGGGACAAATTATTGCATTGCTGTTAGCTTAGGTCACACAATTTTTGGTATATATTGCAAAGAAACTGTTGAATACAGGTAGCAATGAAACCTAACCCTGCAATTTGACCATTGACAAACCAAGGTCGCCAATCATCCTCAACAGTTAGATTGAGATCACGTATCCATTGAAGTGTTCCAAGGTAAGGGACCACCATATCATGATCACCACTGCAGGGGAACAAAAGAAATAGGGTACACAATGGGGGATCAAAACTGGACTTATAACTGCAATTTCTGGACAAAACCTTATTCGGATAAACTCTCAATTATTTCAGAACAAATCATTAGGCCTTATTCAGATAAACTCTCAATTATTTGGTCCATCAGGTCTTATAATTTTACTCCAACTGATAATCTAATTTACGAAATGCATATTTTCCAATGATAATTAAACTATAGAAAATTTTGTTTAAGAATCTATATCTTTGTCCATTTTGTCGTTGTTGTAGAAAAGCACTGTGTTGATCGGATCTTCAATTTGTAACTAAAGAGAACAAGAAACGATTCAAAACTGTAACAAGTCAGGAGAGGCAAGAGGACATATACTTAACCTGTATATTAATGCCTGATATCCTTTCCTACTAAGAACCTGGTGATAGTCGAACACACTTGCAACATCCCTACCTCTTGAATGAGGTGAAGAGCAAACAAGCATTCTGTATTATTTGGGCTTGGATTGATGTATTCCCCATTACAGCTACTTTTAGCCCGCTGAAATTAAATAGCTAGCCTCAATGATCTAGTCAAATTTTCACAAAAAAAAAGAAGAGGGATCTCTATGTGATGAAATGAAATGAAACATCACATTTACTATCATTTGGGGACTGTGGAACAGACAAATTAAAGCACACAACAGTTAAAGGAAGTTTGTGAAAGTTGAGGAAGAAAGTAAAACCTCGTAATACTCATCTGATATAAGTCCCAGACGATGAGCGTAAGGGACTTTCCAGTTCTCATCCTTCCTAGAATCCGTTATTGGGTTGCCAACCATGTATCCCTTTTTCAAGATTTGGAAAAACACAGAAATTAAAATTTTCAAATATCAGTATAGCCAGCATAAAGTGTAGCAAACTAATGATTGAAACCGAAAAATAAAAAAAAAAGGTGTATTTTGAGGGATTCACCTCGACTGACATCCGTGGCTTCAATCCAGCCTCATTACCTAAACAGAGTAATGATCAGTTTCATTTTGAGCATGGTGGAAGCTACTTCCATCATGAAAAACTTAATACAATAATCGCATTACCACCATTTGATATTTCTAAAACAACCATTGGAACAATTTTCCCTGCGTAGGAGTCACCAGCAATGTAGAGGCGATTCTTCATGAATCTGGGGTGATTTAACAGCCACTGCATTGGATTATCATCATAGTTTTATTCATCTTTCGGGTGTCAATTCAATTAAAGATTAAAAAGAGAATCATTTAATATCGGTCCCTCCCGCGATATTTCTTCTCCAAAGTGATATGATATGCTAGCTACACTAAAATTATTAAAAAATCAACTGATGGTTGGGAGATTTTTTCAAGTCACCTTTTGCAGGAAAAGGTAAGCATCCTTTGTTGATTTAGTGTCGGAGGAGAAGTAACCTTGAGAAGTAGTTGCATACGAGAATCCGGTACCAACAGGCAAGTCCAAAAGGATAATGCTGGCAATCTGCTGAACACATGAGCAGCAAATTACAAATAAATTTTCAATACAGATGTTGAGAGCAGTTTAATGGATCTGAGATAAATTGAGCACCTTTGTCCATGCATAGGGATTTGCATGCAATGAAGGCAAGCTTCCATTGTAACGTTCATCATCAAAGGACAAAGGACCTACTTTTAAAGAAGTAGCTGCAGCTTAGTGGATGGTAAATAAAGTACCTTAGTAGTCAATAAACTATTATTGTTCAAATCTTTTAGGATAATTTCAGAAAGCTCCCTTGAGGTTTCTAGTAATTTTAGACAGCTCTTCTCACGTTTTGAAAATTACACATACCTCCCTTAGTACATAAGTTTGGGTTTCACCTTGATGACGTAAGACGAAAAAAAGTATATGAATGCCCAAAATTGCCCTCATCTAAATTTCCTTAGTATGAATAATCATAAAAATTTTTTAAAAGGCAAAACATCAACAAAAGTGCAAGTTTGGGATAATAATTTTAGTACAGTCTATCAAATTATATTTTTCCGTAATTCAGTAGCTTTTTTATGCTCAATAATATGAATAATTGGGTTGTTGGCAAAGATGATTGCTTCCATCATCATCAATAGCAATAACATATTTGATGCTAGAAGGAAGGAGACGTCTACCCTGATTAGTATATTTGAGTGATAGAATGTTACAATTTAATGGTTATAACTGAAATAGTTTGACCACAATATATGGCCTGATCAAGAAGAATTGTTTTCTATTTTCTGTTATCTTTTCCCTTTTTAATCAATGGCTTGTCTTTTGAAAAATTATGAATATTATTATAATCATTGTTTATCATCAAGGGAGTTAAGTGTAATATTAAAAGCTTCAAGAGAGTTCAGTGAAATTAACAGAATTATCCCAATCTTTTATCATCATCTAAACTAAATCATCCCACCCACTAATGTCTAATAAACGTAACAGTTTTGTCCGTTTTCCACAAGTCTTGTCCGTTTCTTAAATCTAGCTCCCCGCCTGCTAAAAGAGGAAAAATGTTGGAACGAGACTCAAGAGAGCATACCCATACCAATTTTGTAAACAAGACCGGAAAAAGCAGAGAGCATACCGATTTCGTAAACAAGACCGGAAAATGCAGAACAACCGGGGCCACCGGTGAGCCAAAGCACGAGAGGGTCCATGCTGACATCTCTCTCCGACTCGATGAAGTAGTAGAACAGCTGCACGCTATCATTTTCTCCCACCCCAACGTATCTGACCACAAGTTTAATGCAATCAAGTTTAAACGATGAAGGAGAAGAAGAAGAAGAAGAAGGAGATTAAACGATGGATTACCCAGTTTCAAGTTTGAAAGGTAGTGCTCCTGGGTAACCTGGCAGAGACTTCACAATGATTTGTGCATCTGCAACGTTAATTAAGAGAAGGAAAAGAAGAAGTAAATTAAGTATCAAGCCTATTAATGCAAACTCGTGCACATGCATGTGAACCAAATTCTGTGAGGACAGAGGAGGAGTGAAAGAACTCTAGAAGTCCAGGCCTCGGGGCAAATAGTGAAGCAAATAGGCTGGTTGTTTACGCAATTCCATTTCCTTGTTTCGTATATATGTTCGGCCGGTTGGTCAAGTTAGCTATTCTAATTTGATTTGGTTGGTTGGAAAATAAGTTTAGTACTTGAGCACAATTATTAAGGAGAGAAATGAAATGTTGCAGTTCAAGATAGAAAGTGGACGACTAGCTTTAGGAGTTAGGACTACCAAACGCTTAATTGAGTTCAAAGATTTGAGATATTCATTTTTTTTTCTTTTTGGATAAAACACCATATTTTCATTAAATTAAATTTACACTAATGACAAAAATTACGTCACACATACATAGATACAATAAGATCTAAAGAACAATGCTACAAATCTAAAGAATTAATAAAACTTAAACCGTAAAGTTTCAACAACACGAGGGTGCTCAATTTAGTGATTGGTTTTGAATGTTCCAGTATAATTGTTTCTTTGAGTAATTACCATCACTCAAATAATGATTAGTGGCGTTAAATAGACTCTTATGCTTGCCTCTATTATTAGTGGAGTTATTCTAATAATTTGGCAAATGCTAAGTAGCACAATTTAATATTTGTGTGTTGCTTTAAGAAATTTGAAGGCACTGCGCAGTGTAATCCGGTTAATTGGATGTACTCCTTGATGGGTACTATTTTCTCCTCTTAACTAATTTAGAATTTGTATAATTTCCAAACACTTGAAGCTTCCAACCTCAAAATTTTGAGATATACTCAGCCTTGAAAATTAAGAATTTATGCACCCATAATTTTAGCATTTGATTTCAATTTTTTGACATTGAACATTATCAGGAGATATTAGAATTTATTAACTTGCTAACGAAGGGCAGAAAGAGAGAGAGAGAGAGAGGTGTAAATAGAGAGAAAAGTAAAGAAATGGAAGGATGAATGGCTCAAGAAATTAAACTGTCTCTCCCAAAGGGGTAAAAATTATAGGAAAGCGAGATTGAGTTATTTACTGGTTGTGAATTGGCATATTTGTACATCAAGACAAACTCCAATAATTAATACTCATATTACCAATCTTTTTCTCTCCATTTCTCTTCCACCACTCTCCAAGAAGATGGAAGAGTGTTCCTATCCTTTCTCTTCTCTCCAATGTTTTCTAACCTAAACTTTATCTACTTCTCTTATCTTCTTTAAACTCCCAAACTAAGCATAAAAGAAAATCAGAAGAGAAATTGGGGTAAAGGTATGAGTGGATTCACCAAGTCTGTTTGGACATCTGGTTGGATGATAAAGCGATTTCTTTATATTTCATCGGATATGGAAAAGATGGAAATTGGGGTAGTACCAAACTCACGGGTATAGATTAGTAGACATGGATAGGAGGTTTACAAGTTACTACTCTTTATCGCATACTACTTCCTTTCAATCATCAATTTCCTAGTTGATAGTGTGTCTTGGCTCATTCCACCCGGAACTGACAAATTCTAGACCAAACGAGAGTATTTTACTCTTTTACATCACTGAAGGTGAAAATGTTGAGCCTTATTAACGTAGAAAGAATTTTGCAAATGGTCATCTTACTAGTATTTTCTGTGATGATTGAAATAATAAAATTGGAATCTTGAATTGGATCTTTCTGGTAACTGTAGAGAAATATTCTCTTGAAGCCTTTCTTTCTTGATCTACAAAGGATAGTAAGAGAACCATCGGTCGATCATGGCAAAACATTCTTTTGGCTTGTATTCTGGAGCTGTGTGACCTCCACCCTGAGAATATATAACAAACGTAGTAATATGTTAACTTGTTTCATGTTTCCTTGCATATTCTGAGGAAAAAGACTCATGGCCAAGGAATTTGTCTTGCCTTGACAGTTGCAAACGTGAGATAGCACTGATCTTCCTGGTACTGGTACTTCAATGTGTACCTGAAAGGGACAATTTCTTGAATATTTGGTTACTTATAAATCTCATGTATTGGCTCTTAGTGGGGAAAATTTTAAGGAGTAAAAGAAAACAACTTTTAAATACAGCTAAAAATTTGAAAACGAACCCTGCAATTTGACCATTGAGAAACCAAGGTCGCCAATCCTCCTCAAGAGTAAGATTCAGATCACGTATCCATTGGAGTGTGCCAATGTAGGGAATCATCATATCATGATCACCACTGCAGGAGAAGTAGGGATGTAGGTGGACTGACTGATCAAAATGGACAATTGAGTGCAAAATGCATTTCCTAGTCCCTACTTCTTAAAGGAATAAAATTTTGGGCATTTTCACAAACTTCATTGATAGATGCTCAATTAGTTTTTGCATCAAGTACTTGGAATCTTGCAAATTAACCATCTAATTCATGATCAATAAAATTTCCTGCTCTGCCAATGAATCTGTGCTGAACTGCTGATTGATATATATTTATTTTCTATATTTTTCATTGCAATTGAAGTATATTGTTGATGAGCTATTCAATTGCGCCTAATGATGACAAGACAAAACAAGAAATGCATGATGATTCAAGAGCGTGACAAATATAAGGATGCAGCAGATATCCCATCCTTAACCTGTACACTAGAGCTTGATATCCTTTTGTGCTAAGAACCTGATGATGGTCAAATACACTTGTCACATCTTGGTCATATGATATTGGTAAGCTCCCATTGCATCTTTTCCATTTTTCCTTTGTGCCCTTGCAATTAAACAGAAAAAATTGGTTAGAAAACAAGATTAGATGGCACAACTTAAAAAACATTTAAGGATTGACGCATGCTTTTCCTCCTCGTGCCCAACTTACTTTTCGAATTTGAAGAGCTTCTCGGACACTTGGGTTGTTCATCCATACATAGGACAGCACATAATCAGTAAACTACATGCCCAATGGAAGTTGACTTTAGCAAATATTTAGAATCAGGGAAAGATATATAGCATGCTATGAAGTAAAAATAATGTGTAAAAGTTAGTATATAAATTTCAAACGAGGAGGAGGAAGAAGTTACGCGACACTTTGGATTTTCTTGATCGGATGACGGGAGGAGAATGTCATTTGGATCTTCTTCAAAATATGTTAGATCCCATTTGAGTCCATCTAGTTTTGGGGCTCGAAATTTGCATATTGGTTCCAAAATATGAGAAAGGCATATATTGCTGGTACACTGCAGTAGGAAAAAGAATTGCTTTAATTGAATCTCGGTGTTCTATAACATAATGGAAGATACTGGTTAGTCAGCACTCAGCAGCAATGCTAATGCACCTGTAAGGCTGTTACCTGTTTAATAAGCTGAAGAGCAAACTGGCATTCTGCATTGTTCGGGTTTGGATTCATGTATTCCCCATCACAGCTACTTTTTGCCCGCTGAAATTCATGTAATCTCAGTTTTAGTCCATGATTTGATAGTAAATTTACAGTACGAAAAGTAAGAAGGCTGAGAATTCGAACTTGAGAAAGTTGAACAAAACAAATCCATCAAATAGCAGCAGGTCCAAATCCTTGAATTAACATGAGAAAACTTTTATATTCCTTCTGCCTTTTCAATTCCAAAAGAGCCCAATTGGTTAGGTTTAGTATAGAAAGGAAAAATTGAGCAAGGTTAGTATAAGTATTAGTATCTTGGGAAATAAACATAATTTGGATAACATAATATTAATCTTTCTAATTTCAGCTTTAAACTAGTGTTAACAAAAAACAATCAAGAGACTTGAGTACCACCTCATAATACTCATCTGATATGAGCGCCAGACGATGAGCATATGGGACTCTCCAATTCTCATCCTTCGGAACATTCACTGCAGGGTTGCCAATCAAGTATCCCTTTTTCAACATTTTGGAAGAACATAGTACAACATTATTGTTTCAACATATTATATGAAATCTTAGCAAAACTAAATGGCTAATAATGAAAAAAAAAATTGTGTTCAAGGGAGTCACCTCGATTGACATATGGGGCGTCAATCCAGCCTCATTACCTACACACGGTGATATATATATATATATATATATATATATATAATTCTCTTCTCAGCATGGTGGAAGCAAATCTTTCTAAATATAACTATCTAAACATGAATCAGGATTACCACCTTTTGTTATTTCTAAAACGACCATGGGAGCAATTTTCCCTCCATAGGAGTCACCGGCAATGTAAAGGCGATTGTTGATAAATTTGGGATGATTTAACAGCCACTGCATGTATAAATCATCATGAGTATTTGCCTTGTTATATTTATCTTTTACAACATCCATTTAATTTAATTTGATGGGCATAAATAGAGGCAATTTTGGTTTTCCATATCCCATGATATTTCTTCATCCTATGATCGGAAGCATGATTAAGCATAAAGTCATGGAATAAATGTACTGTAATAACCATCTATCCCAATTAATGAAAAGACAAAAAAAAAAAAAACATAGTAGCAACATATATAGTATTATCAATTTCTAGTAATGTTGATGTTGATGTTTGTTTTAATTACCTTTTGCAGAAACATGTAAGCGTCATTTGTTGATTTAGTGTCTGAGGAGAGGTAACCTTGAGAAGTAGTTGCATAGGAGAATCCGGTGCCAACAGGCAAGTCTAAAAGGATAATGTTGGCAATCTGCAGAAGGCATATAGGATTAAAACGCTAATGAATGACTGGAAACACATGCCTAAAGTAGTTTAAAGTTGGGCTAAAATTTTCACCTTTGTCCACGAATAAGGATTCAGAATAAATGAAGGTAAGCTTCCATTGTAAGATTCGGCATCAAAATTCAAAGGACCTATAATTGAACAAATGTATTGAGTGATCAACAATAATAATATCTAATTTAGCAATTTCTTGATTTTTGGCTAGGAACCATTTAGAGGTCCTGTTGACCTTACCTACTAAATAATATAATGTTGGATAATTACTTCTGCTGTGATTTATCATTTATGGAGCAGCAAAAGTTCAAGAATTCGTTACTTTACTCTATTATCCTTAAAATCTTTGTGTAGTCAATACTCCCTTCTGTATTGTATACTTTTTTCTTTTTTAAAAATTATTAGACCTGATAGCGAATACTAATGATAAATAACAACAAATATAGTGGGCA